CTGGACCGCAGAGAAAATTACTCCATTTAGGAGTCTTTAGGTTAAGAAGCAGTCCACGTTTGTTTTATTCTGAAATTGTAATGTAATTATTGTTGTTGTTTGTATGTGTGATGTATGTTTGGGCACATGTCAGAACATGTCTGTGGATGTCAAGGAGCTGTTTCTCTCCTTCTCCTCTGACATGGGTCTGGGGATTGAACTCAGATTCTCAGGTATGCTAACATGAACATTTACTCCCTGATGAAATTTTACTAGGAGCTGCCAAGCGCAGAAATTACTCTTACCGTGCACTCATGGCCTTTAATTTTGAGAATAAGAACTTGATCTCCTAATACCTTGATATGGCAAGTGCAATAACTTTGGAAAAGTTATGCCTAATACCTTAATCTGTCTTAAATGTATGAGTTTTTCAAAACGCTTTAAAAAATATCATTTTATATTGACAATAGTCCTGTGAGCTAGGAGGCAGACTTAGAACACTAACTCTTGTTTTACATGAACAAAAGCAAAAACAGAGAATTATGCAGCAACATAACACAAAAGATATTTGCAAAACCTTACTTTTTCTTACTTTTTTTCCCCCGATTCACTTTATCTGTGATGGAAATGTTGACAGGGCCAATCTTGGACAGGTCTATAACAAATACAACTGCAGTGAGTTCATGAATGCAAGGTTATATCCTGTCCAGAAGATACTTTTGTTGCACATCCCTCCATTCTCTGGCTCATATATTCCTCCAGCCCTTCTTCTGTCCTGTTTTCTGGGCCTTGACGAGGACGGTGTGGCTGTTCCATTTAGCAAGTACTCAACAATCACTTATAACACAGAACTTTGACCAATAATGTCTTCTTTCATTAACTTCCATCCACTTCAATAAGAAACTTTCCTAGGAAAGGCTGAGCACAGCACTAATCTATGATTACACATATAAGCATTTAGAAGACTTAATAAAAATAAATTTAGCCAGGCACTGGTGGTGCATGCCTTTAAACCCAGTACTCGGGAAGCAGAGAAAAGTGGATCTATGAGTTTGAAGTCAACATGGTCTATAAAGTGAATCCCAGGACAGCCAGAGTTACACAGAGAAACCCTGTCTCAAATTATTATTTATATTAATAATAGTAATAAAAGCTTCCCAGGAAAATAACAAACTCCACTTTAACTGCATCTCTATTCATTTCACATTGTACCCTCTGCACATATACTAAGACACAGACAGGGAGAGAGACAGACAGGAAGAGACAGAGGCACAAAGAAAGAAGGGAGGAGGGAAAATCCAGGGGCTGGAGACTTGACATACTGGGTAAAAGTGGTAACTACTCTTGCCAAGAACTGGAGTTTGGTTACCAGCACCCATATGGCAGCTCAGCTTCAGCAGCTCTGATAATCCTCTTCTGGCCTCTAAGGGCATTGCTTGCATGTAAAAAGACATGCACGAAGGCAAAATGCACATTGACATAAAATAAAAGAAATAAATCCATGTTTAAAAAAACCTTTAAAGGACAAATATTCAAAACTCATTTCTTACACTCTCTAAAACAGAGTGCTAAGCTGCTCAATCTTGTGTGACATATGTGTTTTAAAATGATCTTTTAGTAAGGCTTTCGAATTTAGGTAGCATTCCATTTTCATTTAGAGCCCCCCAGTAATCTCACTAGAGACTGACTAGTTGCTCTCAACTATACATGAGTGAGGGAACTATGTACAGAAATGTTCACTACATTTTTCTTCATGCAATAAAGGTGAATTCTTCTGGGATTCTTCTGGAAATAAATCTTTTATTGTTTCAGATTAGTGCCAACTAAATACCAGTATAAACACTGATGAAGTGGAAAGTCTGCCTATACCTCATTCCCCACCTTTTCATGAAATATGACTGGTGCCATCCCTGGAGATGGCACAGTAGATGGCAGTCCATAGCAAATAGCTTGACTGAAAACAGTGATTTTTTTTTCAGATCATTTCTCTACATGATCTATGAGTGACATGAGATATCTGTGAATGTGATGGCCTCATAGAATGTGATGATCACATATTTCAATTTGGTATATGCAGTTAAAATTTGGATACTTGGGATATCTGGATGAGAGAAAAAACTAAAATAATAATAAAAATAAAAAAAACTGGGCAGAACACTGAAAGAAAGCTTAGATAATGAAAAATATAATGTCAATTTAGGGATTAAGAAGAAGAATCCACTTGCATCAAAGGAAAAAGATTTAATGAAATCAGTCCTAGTAGTTAAGGCAGAAATGATAGATCTTAAAGAGGTTTCCGGTGTTATGAAGTAACACACATCAGCCAGGGGCTGACAAAATTGGAATATCCTTATGAAGATTACTTAAGTAGGACTGTGCATGGTAGACTAGAGGGATGAGACAGACAGGAGAGGCAGTTATGAAGTTACAGTGATAATGAAGCTGCGAGTTAATGAGGCCAGAATCTAGGGCAATTGCCATAAGACTGGAAAGACAAAGATAAGTATGAGAAACATGTGGGAGATGGACCCCAGTGGTTTTGCAGCAATTCCAAACAATTATAGTAAAATGGCTCTGAATTACAAAAGAAAGAACTCTACTTTCTTACCTAAAGTGCTGATAATAAATCTATCAATATTGGAGAACTGTCAGCACCTAAATTCAACAAGACCTATTATTTAATACCATCAAATAGTCATTACAGAATTTGAACATTAACTCCAAGAATATATATTAAATTTTAATAAGTTCTAATCACATTTCTAGGCTCTGGGAATATAACATCAATGAACAATACAGGCATTAATTCCTTGTCCATGCACTTTACCATATAAGGAAGAGAGACATGTAATGCATTCACTAATAAGTGCAGCAGTATACATTTCATGTTAAAGTTAGAACCTGTAGAAGAATAAACTGATGAAGAATAGTGAGGACCAGATTATTTTAAAAAAATGTGATTTCTTATAAATTATGCAGGGATGGGCTCCTGAAGTGCAATTCTTATGGGCTGAATAAATAAATCATGTGGGTAGAGAAGTCAAGAGATTTTAAAACAGGCATTGCTAAATACAGAGAAGGCAGCATATTAGAAGCAGGGAAGGTTGAAAACTTCCAGTAGTCAGCATTTAGAGATGCTTCAGTCTAACTGTGTAGGGCATTATAGAACCCTATAATAACTTGTGCTTCACATTTTACTTTATAAAAGAAAGAGTTCACGTGAAGTGTTTCATACAAAGGAATGATAAAGATTGACTTACGTCCTACAGGATGGACCAATCTGCTGTGAACAATGAATAGCATGATACAGAGAGCGATCCCCATGGTCAGGGGATCAATGAGAAGTAATTACAAAAATAAGCGATATTGGGAGGAGTCAGAATTGATGGGGGCTGTGTGTTAAATAATAAGGAAAAAAAGTTCTTCTGGTTGGCATTGTTCATAACCAAACTATATAAGGACAAGTAGCTGAGAATTAGATTGACGTTAAATTATAATGTTAAGCCACACTTCCCTGGCCATTGGTCAGTGATTTAGTATCCAAAGGTGAAGTCTAACCATGATTAAACTATGCCAGTCAGTGTGGGCATGACTACCCTAAACTACCTCTATTCCCAAGGGATTCCACAACAATTAGGATGCACATTAGATTCTCTAGCTAAATAATCTTATACCTTTAAAAGTCTCCTACCCAATTTTCACATTTACTACAAGCACATTCAACTGAGTTATATGAAGAGCAGGACATGCTACCTGGTATACAGAGGAACAGTGTCTGTTGGAAGGCTTTTTAAGAAGATAAACTCACTTTAAATTTTAAAAATAAAGTTGTCAGTGTCATGACAATGACCTTAATGTTAATGAATGAACTGTAGATAAGTATACTTAAAGAGAGAGCCAATGCTGACCACTCTATGATCCAAGGGAAAGTTGGAGGGAAAAAAAGAGTGTTTAGAAGGCAAACTAAAATACAACGCGCGCAAAAATGGAAAGTAAGCAATATGTAAATTTTTATTGACTGCAATCATATACTTAAGGAACAGCTAACGAGTATATTTTGTGGTTAATAGAAAAAGATCTACAGCAGATTTATTACTACAGAAATATTTATTTGGAGTCTAGGCAGGTTAGGTATTCAAGTAGGTACCTTCCATCATCATTCACTCAGAACATAACTCAGAAATCTAGATAGAGACTATGGAGTTGCTATTTGCAAACTCTGACTATTAGGCATGAGCTGACTAATGGGGCAAGAATAGCAATGCCAAGGAATCAGAAGTCAACCTAAAACAATTTATCTCCATTAATCCAGGTCTAAAGTCAATGTAGCTATAATCCAAGGGGAGGGCAGAGGAGTGCAAACAGAGTTCTAACACGCTTACTCTAGTCACAGATATGAATGATCCTGGATTTGTGGTGGTAATCCTTGCATGGCAAGAGTTAAATTATTAGGAATAAGACTTCTGTACTGAAGTCAATGGAACTGCAGTTTCAAAACTATGAGCAGAATTGTCTTTGCAATTTTCCTTTTGTTGTTGTTGTTTTGGTCCCTGATGAAGGCACAGCCATGAAGACATGTAAGAATAACAATAGTTTTATGACAAATGGACCAAAATGAATGTCCAAGAGACCAGAAAAAATATATGGGTAATTATATATAAGGAAGAGAACTGGAAAACTGTAAAGTTATTTATAATATTTTAGTTTCCTTTTTAAAGCTACAGATGTGTGACTTTGTGACTAGTATGACCTTGAACCCATACAATAAAAACACTGGTAGATATTTTAAGAAAAAATTGGCATTGAAAACATGGACTTAACATGACCATTGCATTAGATGCAGGAAATCCCTTTGACAAAATAAAAACATCCCTCATGATAAAAGTCCTGGAGAGAATAAAGAAAAAGAAACAAAGCCCAGCATAAAAAACAGTTTACAGTAAGACCACACCCAACATAAACCTTAATGAAAGTAAATTCAAAGCATTTCCACTAAAATCAGAAACAAGTCAAGGTTGTCTACTCTTTCCATACTTATTCAATATAGTATTTATAGTACAATAGTGTTAGCTAAAGCAATAAAGCTGAAGATCAAAGAGACAGAAATAGGAAATGAAGAAGTCAAAGTATCTTTATTTGTAGAAGATATGGCTATATAAAATTGACCCTTAAATTTCCACCAATAAACTTCTACAGCTGAAAAACACTTTGTAAACAAAGTATTAAGATACAAAATTCACATACACACACACACACACACACACACACACACACAGTAGCCTTTATAAATAATTTTTAAATGACAGTGAGAAAGAAATCAGAGAAACAATACCTTTCAAAATAGGCTAAAAAATATGCTTTGGTGTAACCTAACCAAGCTAGTGAAAGACTTGTACAATAAAACCTTTAGACATTGAAGAAAGAAAATGAATAGCATGTCAGAAAATGAAAAGATCATGCATGCTCTTGGATTGGTAGGGTGAATATAATGAAAATAGCCATCCTACCAAAAAAAACAGCCTACAGATCCAGTACAATTCCCATCAAAATTCCAACACAATTCTTTACAGATTATGAAAGTACAGTTTTCAGCTTCTTATGGAAACACAAAAATCCCAGGATAGCTAAAATACTAAGATAACTGCTGGCAGTTTTACAGCCCCCAATCTCAAATTGTAATAAAGAGGTAGAGTACTAAAAATAGCACTATATTGGCACAAAAAAAGACATGTTGTTAAATGGAACCAAATTGTAATCCAAGACATAAGTCACATACCTTTGGAGAGATGGATTTTGACAAAGGAGACAAAATACACACTGGGAAAAATGAAAAGACAGAATCTTAAAATATTAGTACTTTCAAACAGGGTGGCTGTATATACAAGAACACGAATAGACCCATATATACCATGCATAAAACTCAACCTCAAATGGATCAAGAACCTCAACATAAAATCAGATAGCCTGAATCGGTTAGAAAAAGAAAAATGTGGGGAATAGTCTTGAATTCATTGGCATAATAAAAGACGTTCTGAACAAGACACCAGTAGCACAGGCACAAAGAACAACAATTAATAAATGGGACTTCATGAAAATGAAAAGCTGCTGAATACTGACTGACACCATCACTTGGAAAAAACAGCAGATGGCAGAATGAGAAAAGATTTTATCAATTACACATCTGATAAAAGACTAATATCTGAAATATGTAAAGGACTAAAAACTCTGAACATCAAGACACCACATAACCAAACTGAAAATGGCTTACAGATCTTAACAGAGTTCTCAAGCAATGTAGCTCAAGAGGCTGAAAAGCTCTTAAAGAAATGGACCAATAGCCTTAAGCACCAGGGGCTTACAAATCCCAACAACTTTGAGATTCCATTTTCTCATCAGTCAGAATAGCCAAGACCAATAAAACAAATGACAGTTTATTCTAGCAAAGACTTGGGGTAAGGGACATATTCATCCATAAGTGGTGGGAGTATAAATTTATACAGCCACCTTGGAAGTCAGTGTGGCAGTTCTGCAAGAAGATGGGAATAAATCTAACTCAAAATTCAGCTCCACCATTCTTGGGCACATAATCTAATGATTCTATGATGTACTTCAGAGACACTTGTTCATCCATGTTTGTTGGTGCTATCCCCATAATAGCCAGAAATTGGAAACAGCTTAGATATCCAAAATGGAATCATGGATAAAGAAAACGTGGTGTATTTAGACAACAGGATATTACTCAGATTATGTTTAAATAATTAAATCTTCAGGTTAATGGATGAAGCCAAAAAATCATCTTGAGTAAGTAATCCCAGACCCCAAAAGGCAAATGCAGACTGTATTGGCTTATATGTGGATGTTAGCTGTTAAGTCTCTGATAATCAGACTGCAATCTATATATCCAGAGGTTAGGTACATAGTAAGTGATTATGGAGAGGGAAACATCTTCCCAGAGAGGGAGATAAGAGAGAGAATACAGGGAGGAACAGCTCAAACTCAGTACCATTTGAAAGTTGTATGGACACTTACTACAGGAGAGCTTTTTAAAAATATATGCACATATATAAAAATAAATCTAAATGAAATCACCAAATAATAGGGGAAATAAAACCCCAACTAGATATCTTTTGCCCCCTTGAAACTTTCAATGCCAAGAAGTTTTTGGCCAAGGGGGCATAGACTCTCTCAAACACTCAGGCTACTGCCATGGCAACATGTTGCTCTCTGCAACCTGATGGTAAGGCCTTATTGCTGAAGATAATACCTACAAAACATATTGAACTTGTGCCTTACTAGGGTTTTCACCCCTAAAGTCTAGTGTTCATGGTACTGGAAAGTACTCTACAGGCTACCTATCAGAGGTAAACATCAAACCACATACAAACCCTTCATTCTCCAATGGTAACTTGCCTGTAAGATATGCTGGTGCAACAGTAGCACAAAAGTTGTGAAATTCATTAAGCACTATCTGATTGGATCCAAATCCCACTCCATGAGCTGGAATCCATGTCTGACACTGGTCAGGTAGCCGAGAACCTGAGACTAGGTTGGCCACGGAGGTAGGAGAGTCCAAACACTAGTGTTCTGCTAACAGAAGATAGCAATAAAATGACTCCTAACAACACTGATTGGGGTCTGGATCAGCCATCATCAGAGAAGCATTCTCCTGCAGCAGATAGGAACAAATACAGAGACTCGAAGTCAGACAATGCACAGAGGATCCAAAACTTGGAACACTCAGCCCTTAATTGGATGTCTACACCAAATACCACCTTCCAGGTTCAAGAAACTGTAAAGAAGAGGCAGAAAGATTGTAAGAGTTAGTGGGGATAGAAGAGATCAAGGAAACAAGGCCTTCTACACCCAACAGGACTGATGTACATAGAAACTCAGAGACTGTGAATGCATACACAAGGCCTGCACAGGTCTAAGCCAGATGAGGTCCCAGCACTGAGAGGAAAAGTGACCAGAAACCCTACTCCTATCCCAGATGCTATCTACAGTTGATAACTATGTACCAAAAATTCATTTGTTCCAAGGGAGCCTTATTGGGTATATAAACCACACTTAAAGGCAGGCTCTAAGCCTGGTAGTTGATGCCCCAAATGAAACAAACTCACTGTATTTTTTGTTTGTTTGGTTGGTTTATTGTCTCTTAACACTTTGGGCATTTTTTTTTACCTTAGAAGTTTTTGCTAATATATTATTGTTTCCAATCTTGTGGTTTTATGGGATTTCTGTATCCCTATGTCTGTATGATCTTCTTGTGAGTTTTGTGAGTTTTCTTTGGCTTTTATTTTTCCTATTGGTTTATTTTGTCCTATTTTGATTTTGTTTCATTTTACTTTATTTTTAGATGTCTATTTTCTTTCTAATGAGAGAGAGAGAGAAAGTGTGTGGGCTTTGGTGGGTGTGTAGGTGTTGAGGAATTGAGAGAAGTTTGGAAAGGAAAAATTATAATTAGAATATAATATATGGGAAAAAGTACTTTAAGTTTAAAAAAAGAAAAAGTAAATATGGGTCTACCAAATGTACCAGCCAAGCATCTACCACCCAGAATATGTAATCAGCCATTTACTACACATTTTCAGTAAAATGCTTTCTCATTAGGTCATAGCATAATGTAACAGCTTAGTTATTCCATTATAACTATGATTATTATTTACTATGACTTTTCAGTTAATACCATAGATCAGACTCTAGTACTTATTTATGTGTTAAAATGCTTTAACCAGTTTTTAATAAAATGAATACTGTCAATTTTGTTTACCCATTTGCTTCAAGTCTATTCTTTCTGTAGTGTATGTGTGTGTGTGCATCCATATGTGTGTATATGTGATAATATCTAGGTCAAAGTTAGGTATTTTCCCATTGATGTTTTTAGAGATATGTATGAAGGATATTAAGAATGTGTTGTTATTTCAAATGGTAATATGGAGTATATTTTTTGGCAAATATGTTTTTCACATTTATGTAGCTATATATTTGTATAAGCCAATGAGTTATAATTGACACATAATGAAATGCTTATGTTTTCTGTGCTTTGACACCCTACACATATCATCACAATTAGCAGACTGGACAAGCACCTCAGATCCCAGGGTTGTTTCTCTGTAACACAATCTCCCTGCCTTCCCTCCATTTCAGGTTACCTTTTAATTTACTGAATGAAGCTCCTACCTGTTATTGTCAATTGCAAAGATAGGCATCTCTCTTAAAACTGGGAGAAGCATTTGCCTATGGAGCCAAAGAGAATATTTAGAAGGCAACTGGGGCAATGTCATTTTAGATACATAACCGCAGTTAAGTTCCCCACCTAGGACCTAAGCCCCCTTAACCACATAGGTTTTGTTTTTTGTTTTTGTTTGTTTGTTTGTTTGTTGGTCTGCTTGCTTACTTCGTGGTTTTTAGTACCAGGCATGAAGTCTCTCCTGTGTGTGGGTCTGGGATCCAATCAGAGAGCAGTTGTTCACTCCCACAGCAATCATGCCACTCTATCGCCACTGGGCACATCTCAAATGACAGTTCAAGTTTCCAGTTGTTAAAGGCTGCTGAGATCCTTTCTCATCCAGTAGCCTGTACAGCACCTTCAAGAATATGAGAGCTGCCTGGTGGCGGTGGTGGCGCACACCTTTATCCCCAGCACTTGGGAGGCAGAGGCAGAGGCAGGCGGATCTCTGTGAGTTCAAGGCCAGCCTGGGCTACAGGGTGAGTTCCAGGAAAGATGCAAAGCTACACAGAGAAACCCTGTCTCAAACAAACAAACAAACAAACAAAACAAGGAGGAGGAGGAGGAGGAGGAGAAGGAGAGCTACTCAGCATGGAAGAAGCTACCAGCTTAGTCCCTGTTTGGTTTCTTTTTATTGTCAAGGAAATTGCGTGGTATCTTCAGCACTTAGGTATTTTAAACTACTTCTGATGGGCAACCAAGTGTAATGTCCAGAACTAGTATTGGTTTCAGGGTTTTGGCAGTTTCTGTGACCCAAAGTTCATAACAATACATCTTGAACCTGTGATTAGGGCTTTTGATTAACAACCCTTAGCCAGCAGCAGCAGCAGCAGCAGCAGCAGCAGCAGCAGTAGCAGCAACAGCAGCAACAGCAGCAGCATTCAGTCATGCAGGATATCATATCACCTGTCAACTGTTTTGTTTTTTTAACTTATGTTCTTTAATTGGCCTATAATGTAATGAACTTTAATATGACTTTTTCACATAATCTTGCTTTGATTAATTCTCCCCCATTTTCATTTCTACCTCATGCCAAACTCCATCACTATTTAAGCCTTGCTTTCCCCAGTAAGCCCTCCTATGTACGTTCATATCACAGATGTTTTACTGTCTCATTATTTTAATGCATCTACACCCTTGTGGCCCTTCTAGAGTATTAGTGATGACTTCTTCTTTTAGCAATAGGATGTTGTGGTGATGTACTGTGTCCCATAATATACTGTGTCCCCCAATAAAATTTATCTGAGGACCAGAAGTAAAAGCCAGCCACTATAAGTAAACATGGATGTCAGGCAAAATAGTAGCACATGCCTTTAATCCTATCACTTGGGAGTCAGGGATATGTCTGGATTACTGTGAGTTCAAGGCCACACTTGAGGCAGGCATAGTGATACATGCCTTTAATCTCAGCTCTAGGCATAGAGGTCTGGAGTTCTGTACTGACAGAGAGGAAGTGCCAGAGCTGGCTAGAAAGAAGAAGTGATGTAGCTGGGCTGAGAGAACAAATGAGAGAATAGAACAGCAAGGCATATAGGTGTGGGTAGACAGGAAATAGCTCTTTTTGGAAACTGAGGTGTCCGGTGAGGTGAGGTTAGCTTGTGGCTTTTCCCTATCCCTCTGATCTCTCTCGGGCTTTAACCCCAAATTCTGGCTCCATGTTTTTTATTTAATAAGACCTTTTAGCAATTTGTCTACAGGACATCACCTGGTACAGACCCTTGTAGGCCTTCTCCATGTAGCAGGAATCCTAAAGGTTCTTATTAATAAAATCAAACCTGAGGCAAGTTATTGGGGTCCATGCTGGTAGATCAGAGAGACAGAACAAGCCACAGCTATCTCACCTTGCCAATTCCTTAGCTGGTCCTGTTTCCTCAGACTGGAAACTTCTGTGTCCTCATCCCAATGAATCTCAGCTGAACTGTGTTGCTCCAAAGCCTGAAAGCTTAACCAGCCAAAAGCTTAACCAGCCAAATGCCTCTAGTTTCTGGCCCTCACGCCTTATATATCTTTTTGCTTTCTACCACCACTCCCTGGGATTAAAGGCTGGCTTTCTGGGATTAAAGGCATGTCACCATGCTTGTCTATTTCCAATGTGGCCTTGAACTCACAGAGATCCAGAGGGATTTCTATCTCTGGAATGCTAGGATTAAAGGTGTGTGCTATCACTGCCTATCCTAAGTATCTAATGGCTTTTCTGTTCTCTGACCCCAGATAAGTTTATTAAGGTACACAATATTTTGGGGAACACAATACCACCACATCTCCATGCTGCTACAGTCTCTGTAACGTCACACAGCTTTGCTAATGTTGATTTAGAAGGCCTTGTTTTCCTTGAGGCAGGGGGAGGGACTTGGACCTGCCTCTACTGAATGTACCAGGCTCTGCTGACTCCCCATGAGAAGCCTTACCTTCTTGTAGAAGGGAATGGGGAGGTAGGTTTGGGAGGAAGGCTGAAGGGGAGGGAGGAGGAAAGAGAGGAATCTGTGATTGGTATGTAAAAATCAATTAAAAAAATTTCTTAAAAAAGAAAGAAGGCCTTGTTTTCTTGGGATCCTCCATCCCCTGTGATTATTACACTCCTTCTGCCTTCTCTTCTGCAGAGGTGCCTGAGCCCTGAGGAGAGGGATTTGATGGAGGCATCCCACATAGGGCTGAGTGTTCCATGGTTTCTCATTCTCGGGATATTATCTGGCTCTGAGTCTCTGTATTTGTTCTTATCTGCTACAGGAGAAAACTTCTCTGATACTGGCTGAGCAAGTATAGCAGAATAAGTATAGCATAATGTCATTAGAATCAATTTCTTGCTTTGATCCCTGAATAGAACAGTAGTACTTGATTTTTACCCCAGGCCTCCAGGCTATCTAGTCTCAGGTATGTGGTCATCCAGCCAAAGCTGGATATGGGTTTCATCTCGTGGAGTGAGCTTTAAGTTGAATCCAATATTGGTTGGTTACTCAAACAAGCTTTGGGCCATCATTGTACTAACATATCTTGCAGGCAGGACACCACTGAGGATCAAATGTTTGTAGCTGGCTTTGTATCTATATTCTCTTTCATTGGCATACAGAGTGCCTTCTGGTACCAAGAACATCATCCCCTAGGGATAAGGTTCTAGGAAGTCACCAGCTCAACTTCTCCTTGCTCAATGAGTTGTGTGTTGGTTTCAGCAATAGGGCCTTGCCATCGGTTTGGGGAGAGCAACTTATAGTCATGACAACAGACTATGTCCTTTAGGAGTTTCCATGGGACCTGCTTTGGCCAACTCATTTTCTTGATAGTACTCATTCTCACTAGGGTGACAAAGAATCTCAAGGTAGTTTTAATTTGTATTACATTGTTGTCTAATAATGTCAAATAATATTTAAATGTATGTATTAGGCATTTGCATTTCTTCTTTTAGAGATTGTCTCCTTTTTTTTAACAATGTGTTTGACCATGTTTTGTTCTGCTCTTCCAAACCTTGCCAGACTTTTCCTACATCCCTATCCACCTACATTCTTTCTCTCACTGTCTCTATTAAAATAAGTAAACAAATAAACAAAACAAAAAACATAAAGAAAATAACATAACACAAGAAATACAAGCAAACAAATAAAAGACATGGATTACATTCTGTGTTCACCAGCTACTCCCAGGCATGGGATGTGCAGTGATGTATGGTTAATGTACCCAGTGACACTCCATTGCAGAAAACCCATTTTTCCTTTGCTATTAGGTATAAATATCTGTTCAGATCCAAGTTCTATTTTTGATTATTTGTTTTCTCTGCTTTTTTTTTTTTTTTTTTTTTTTTTTTTTTTAGTTTTTTGAGACAGAGTTTCTCTGTGTAGCTTTGTGTCTTTCCTGGAACTCACTCTGTAGACCAGGCTGGCCTCAAACTCATAAAGATTCACCTGCCTCTGCCTCCCAAGTGCTGAGATTAAAGGCATGTGCCACCACCGCCCAGCTTGTTTTCTCTTTTTTTTTTTTTTAGCACTTAAAGATACAGCAATATTCATTCACTCTACTTACAATAGCTGGAAAATGGAAACAATCTAAATGTCCTTCAATACATAAATGGATAATGAAACTGTGCTATATGTACAATGGCGTACTATACAGCTATAAAAAATGAAATCAAGGAATTTGTAGGTAAATAGATAGAACTAATAAATATTATTTAGTGAGATAACCCCGACCAACAAATGCCAAATGGTCTCTCTTATCTATAGTTCCAAGTGCCAAATATTCAGATGAAAGTTTAGAACCTGCAGTAACCATATAAACAATGAAAGTAAAATAGGGCCATACAGGGAAGTTAAAGAGCAGACTGGTAGAATATAGAAGGTAATAAGATAGGTATCGGGAAAATGGGGCGTTTTTTAATTAAGGTAGGAAAGGGAAGCCACTACAGAAGGAGAGGGAGGGATGTAAGGAGGAAGGACAAATAACACAAAGAATATAATGAAGTTTCAAGGAATCATAATGTTTTAATTTTTTTTAATTGTGTGTTATCTGAAATAAGTTATATCACTTGAACTGACAATATTTCCAGGAGCTGCAGACCATCTAACAAAACTCCTAGTCCCAGGCATGAGAAAACCCCATACAAGTTGCTGGTCATGACAGTCAAAATGAGCTCCAAAACAGTATGTGCTATTGCTTTTGCACTTGGTTGCATCACAGTAGTGGAAGGTAAGTCCTTATTGCTAAAGTTGCAATGCACTTCAGACACAAGATTAAGAAGTTTTGAACTAGAGCTTACCTGAAATCCTCCTTCCTGTGATGTGGCTTCCATCATACCAAAAGCTGTTACATAATCTGCCAAGAGAGGGAAGCAATCAATAGACTCATCTACTGGTGATGCCTATGAACTTCATTATCACCATGGCAAGATATCTCTTAAGATGCAACAATAAAACTCATATCTTGGCGATAACCAAGAGTGATGTAATTGAATTTAAGGCCCACTCACCTGGAAGGAAATTATGCCAGGTACTAGAAAGCTAGCCAATTACACAGGGTCGGTGAGGTCATGGGTCTTAGAAGAGAACCTACTACTATTGTCTCATTATTCTTACCCTTATCTCTTTATTACCCTTGTCTCATTATTCTTACCACATTACCCTTATCTCTACCACATTACCCACAAAAAAATGATAGGCAGAAGTATCAAAGAAGCTTACAATGGCAGTAGTCAGGGACTATTATAGAAAACCATATTTGGCATAATGCAAAAATAATCATGGGGATCCCAAACCTAGTGGATAAATCTGTAAACCCACAACTCCTGCACCCAAGTCTCAGGGAACATCACAGAAAAGGAAGTGAAATAATTGTAAGATCCAAAGGACCAGAAAGTCTGCAGTGAGATCGTGTCTCCTAGAAATGACAGGGGGCTGTACATATGATACATCAAGAATGCAGCTGCCTGAACAAGACCCAAACAATTACAATACTAATAGACATGCTAACACAAAAAGGGAGAAATCTTGTGTGATCCCATCACTCAACAAAGAACTAGAGGCAGCTAACGGATGCTGAGGGGCAGAATTAGACTCTCCCAGGATAAGCCCCTAAATGTTTATACAATACACAGTGGTTATGAAATCACTTATACAAATGAAACACCAAGTCAGTTCAGCAAGTTGTATTTATATATTTATTCATGTGTGTTTATATAGTAATAATAATAATGAAAGAAAAAGAGGCCATTGGTTTAAGAAAGAGAGTAAGATGGGGAATATTATAAGGGTTTGTAGCTGGAGAGCTTTTCTCTCCGGGTCCCACCAAGTCCTGCCAGTCCCAGAGCCCACTCATAAAATAAACACACAGACGCTTACATTATTTAAACTGCTTGGCCATTAGTTCAGACCTATCATTGTCTAGCTCTTACTCTTATCTTTAGCCCGTTTCTATTCATCTATACTTGGCCACTTGGCTCGTGGCTTACTGGTACCTTACATATTCCTTGTCCTGGCGGCGGCTCCAGGCAGTCTCCCTCTCTGCCTTCCTGTTTCCTCAATTCTCCTCTCTGTTAGTCCTGCCTATACTTCCTGTCTGGCTACCGGTCAATCAGTGTTTATTTATACAGAGAGATATCCACAGCAAGGGTTGGAGAGACGCTGGAGGAATTTTAGGCAGAGAAAGGAAGGGGGAAGTGATGTACTTATAGTTTAATAAAAATTTTAAATGTCCATAAATAGTTAAGAAAAGTAAAATACTACTACTACTAATAATAATAATAATAATAAACCAAAAAAATGAGAAGGGGAGTCAGATTGTTCACAGGAGCCAAATTCGGGCCTTTAAAATGTATCAAAAATATTGAAAAATCTTAAGTATATCTCAGCCAGTGAAAGTATTTTTTTTTTGTTTTTGTTGGTTTGTTTGTTTGCTTGCTTCTGTAGCTTGCACTATGAAACTGATAGATTTATTTAAAAATGTGCTTCTTTTATTTTGCATGCTGTCTGTTATCCCTTTGAATTCTTCTGATGGGATACAGCAATTCTCTATATCTCCCAAGGTAATGAGACTCTGCTTTAAGCCTTGGGGAGATCATTATTAGTGAAATAAATGTTTATCTGTTGTTACCATGTGCCATTTAGCACACACAGGGTTTTGTTCAGAAGAGTGATGTGAGCAGACATTTCACAGGCACACCACTCTTCCATCACCTAGTGAGAAGATATAAATTAAATAAGATCATTATTTATTGTATGGTTTAAAGAAACTGAAAAAACTACTGAAAACATAAGAAACATGAACACATAAGCTCTTGTAACCTCGTCAACTATGAATGAAGATGCTAAACCTGAAAGTCTCACTTTGGTTATTCAAATATTTGATTTACCACACTTTCATGCTAAGTGTAGTCTTGGAATCTCAGGCAAGGATGAGTTTCTGAATACTTCTTCCATGTGCTTTCTGTGTTAGTGGGTCATGAACAAGTTGTAAAAACTGACCTGCAACAGACATACAAATGTAGGGTCTTGATTCCTGTGTTCAGCTACACAAGGCTTCAGTACAGCCTATGTTAAATCAGTTTCCCTTTGATTCTTTGCATCACATATTAGCAGTTTAAATTTAATTTGGTTTAATGGAAATTTATTCTCTGATTTATGTGAATCAAAGATCTTAAACTGACTGCTTCAATCCTTACTTTATAAAGGGCTCCAAGATGTCCTTTACCATTTCTCTGTCTTCAAGGATGACCTTGACGTTCTTTTCAAAATCATTTAACCTTAACAAAATATATTTAAGTGACAAGGACTGAGGTGAAGTAATGAAAGCATACTAATACATACTATGCATATGCTACTTTGCTCATAGCACAGAAGTTACATAAGGTATTTTATTTACATTAACAGCTCTGTTCCAAAACCTTCCTTAAGATACTTCATAGTATCATGAAAACTTTAACAAAATAAAATGTAGACTTTATAATTCATGATTTGTATTTTAAAATGCTCTGTGCACTGCATGTTTTCTGAAATTTGTTCTTTGTTATTTCTTTCAGATTGCTTCATTGACACACAGAAAAATGTTTGTATTTTTCTATTTTAAGCATACTTTGAGGCAATATCACATATTTCTGATACCTGAATATCTTTTGTATTTATTTTCCAAAAAAAAAATGTGTTGAATTACATTAAAATAAACCCCACTGATTAATTTGCTTCAAATAAGGGACGAAAATAAAGTCTACAGTGCAAGTAATTTACCACTCAAAATCTTTACTTTTAGTAGTTCTGAAGATCCATGTATAAAGGGCGAAATAAAAATTTGAAAAGAAACCATAAATCCATGCAGGTTCCTCAAAGCCTCTATTCTTCCACTCAGGAAATGAGGGTGATAATCATAACTCTTGGGATGTCACAACTACTTCAACTGTCCATACACTGTTTTGATGGGGAAAAAATGGATAAAGCAATGGCTGGAAAAGAGCAAATGGGCTCTGGCATATGGAATACCAAATTATGAACTATGTTTTACTTGATTCATGTACATAATATCCTAAAAAATACCCTCCTTTACCTGATGATGCAAAAGGGGAATCATTAATATTAAATTAGGTTAGCATCAAGATTAACATATAAGCAAAATATGTACCCATTTGCTAAGTATATTATTTTGTTTCTATTACATCTCAAGATAGGTATTTCAGCTGATGAGAGTTTTTAAGTTATTCAAGAATCACTAAATTTTGGAAATTATTTGTATATCTTTTTTTGATCATTACTATTCTGAAGCACCAAAATATTTCACAGCTGCTATGACAACCAAGGAGTTGCTGCCTTTAGATTCTTGTTCCAATCCCTGAAGAGTTTTCAGTCATATGTAGGAATAATTGTGTTACATCCTTTTAATTGTGGTCTAGTCAGATAGGTGGTCATAGAGATAAAAACAGCAGAAACTAACATTTTGTGAAATATGAAATAAAGTCTTGAACAATGAAATCATATATGAAAATTAAAGTAAAATTGTATAGTGTACAAAATAAATTTATAAGACATATTAAATTTAATTCATAATCTAAGATGCAACTCAAAATTTAAGAAGTCGTATTATAATTTTAAGATAAACACAAGCATGAGTAAATAGTGTTTTTATAATTATGATAGTCATTAGAGTTTAAAGCACATGAAACAGGCATTTATTATAAACTGTTTCCACATGAGACAAATATTTTAGAAAGTAAACTTTAAACAGTTTCATATTGCATTGCAGAGAGGAGTAACCTGTGGCATTTGAAGCTATTTTGAGTAGCTTTTATAGTGAGCCTTCAAATCATAGCACATAAAAAAGTTATGGCACAGTCAAGGACAGCGCAATTCTCTTGGCATCCTCATAAAGGGAGCAGAAAGGCAGCCTCTTTGTTGGACACTTACGCTGTGTACAAGCAGGAGAGAAAATGAAGAGAGAAAAAAAATTAAAACCCAACAAAGCTTTGCTGAGCTTTGGATTCTAGGGTCAATGACTCTTTTTTTTTTTTTCCATATAGCACTCTGATTTGAGACCTGCCAGATTTCTAAACATTAAGAAATGTCTCGTTCACTGACATGCTGTAAATATTCTGCAGAGGCACTTCCTTGAAGGTGAGATGAAACCAGAAAGGCATTTTCTTTTGCCGAGCTCGTCCTGTGGTAGCGCCAGCCCTAAGCCACAAGGAAAGGGAAATCAGGCCCCTCCCCTACAAACTGACTGAAGTTTCTACTGAGCAAAGAAGTGAAAACATATTTCATTAACTCTATTTTAAAGAGAGTATGTGAAAGCTACCCCCTGGCCACTTTGTTTCCTGAGTTCCTGCAGTTTGCCTCTCTCATAAGTATTTGTGAAAATTAAAAGATATATAAGGAACGATTGGATAACAAATTGGTTTATAAAAAATCACAACTATTCCTTTTCTGACAGTCTTACCTCATCTATAAGCTATTAAAAGTTATATTCTTTTTTCTATTATTAATTTTTGGTAATTTCATACAATATATTTTATCTTCTTCCCCTTCCTTAGCTCCTCCCAAATCCTTTTCTACCTCCCTACACACCCAATTTTGTCTTCTTTTTCTTTCTTTCTTCCTTCCTTCCTTCCTTCCTTCCTTCCTTCCTTCCTTTCTTCTTCTTCTTCTTCTTCTTCTTCTTCTTCTTCTTCTTCTTCTTCTTCTTCTT